CCTTTGAGCATGAGGAAGATCTGTCATTAATGTGAACAAACTGAAATCAATCAGATAGATCAGATTTAAACCAGCCTAGAGCTGTTCCTTTAATTCCTAAAAATATAACTCTGGAATGAGGAGTTTTAACTCATAAAAACAGCTCTGTCAAGAGTAAAGAGTAATCTTTACCACCTCCAGGATACAGTTCTTCTGCACAACATCTTAGAAGCCTGGAGCTGATGCTATCTGGACCCGCAGCCTTTCCCAGCTTGATCTTTGGCAGCTCATTCCTCACCTGTTTTGTTGAAGGCATCAAGATGGGGGGGAGGGGGTGGATTGTGTGATGGAATTCTTTGTGTCCTGGTGAAGATTCTCAGTCATCCTGGTCATAGTTATTCCGAAAAAATTTAAAAGAAATCCAGGGGAATTTGTTTCCATGTTTGAACATGTTTCTCTTCCCATCCAGGAAGCTTTTTCTATTCAAATGTCAGAAATAGCGTTTAGTTCCAGGCTTTATAGAGTGGACCAAAGCAAAGCCTTGTTTTGGCTTAGAAATCATGCAAATAGAACCTGACGAGCTGGTCCGCCCCTTTGGAATGGGGGGTCGTTCTTTTTCTTTGTTAGCCTGTAATACTTGAAACCTGTCTACATCTCTGAAAGAGGGGTCGTTAGAGGGAATTGTTGGTCTGGCTGAAGAGGAGAGGTGCTCTTGTACCCTATAATGGGGTGGGGGTTTCAATGATAGCAGGAAGGAATCAAGTCTATAGCTGAATTGTAGTTTTTCGAAAGCTGGAATCTGAGTCCACCCTGTGATGATCCTTGCCCTGGAAGTGATTCTGTTCTCAATTAATACTCCGGTTCAGTCTCCACCCTCCTTGTAATTAACCTCTACTGATTTCACCTGTCGCTACCTGCATATAAGCTCCATCCTGATCAGCCTCCAGTGCCAGGTTGTTTCGAGCCAGCCCAATAAGAACCTTCCAGTCTTCGGTATCGAAAACCTGTCTGGCTGCCTGCCTGCCAACCGAACTGTCTTTGTCCCCCATTTCTGAGCGTGCCTGATCCCTTTCTGGATTTATCTGCCTGTCTTGCTCTGTAAAATTCTGGATTCCGGATTGACCTCCTGTGCTCCTGACCCTTTTTCTGCCCATGAGTATATGAACCTACCTGCTCCCTTAACTCTCTGTGATAATCGGAAATTGGACCTGGAACTGGAGAAATCTCCTGGATCACCCCCACCCCGTACCCCTGCTGCATTACTGGACCATGTTGTCTGACCTAGACTGCCTCTGGACAAACACCCCAGGAAAGCATGCACAGCCTGTCAGTTTGTCTACCGCTCAATGGCAAGTCCCCGCCAACAAGTGGACGCCTCCAGTCCCCAAAGCCTCCTGTCTCTTTCTGGCTGACTGTTATCAGCTTAGTCTCGCCTCAATTCCACATTACTAATCTGCCACTGCAGCCTCTAATCTGTCCCTCTGCCTCTAGGACGTTCCAGCCCGTTAACAAGACCTGCATGCCCAAGAGCCAGCGCTGTTTAACCCTGCTTTTTTAATTAACTGTTTAAATATCACTGACCTGTGGTGGTTGAATCTTGGGTCCAAATCCAGCACATTACACACACCCTCTGTTTAGGGTTGGTTTTTCTTTCTTAGCTTAGATGGCTTTCTTCACATCCCTCTCAAACCAACTAACTCTGTCCAAAAATTTGAACATTATGGTCCTCAAAAGTGGAGTGGGGTGGG